CTAGCAGTGCAGAGAGAAAAAAATTTGCTTTGTCACAAAATCTTAGTCCAAGCTGAAGTTTGTATTCAGTCATTACATAGGAGATAAGAAATAACTGATCACTGTAGCAAGGAACCCTAGATCCTGCTGCAGGGCCTAGGGTTACTACATATTTAGCATAAAGATGTAAGCGATATTTAGGGCTGGAGTTTCATGCAAAGAAAAAAGAGTATCAAAAAGGCTATTAGCCTATTACCAATGTTAGTCCCGGCTACCCAAGGTCTTGGGAGGGGTGCACTGGATGCAGACATATCATTCAGCATTACCTTGGAAAAAATGACCACTCTCAGACTCAAAAACCTGTGATACCCAAGTTTCAAAACCAAGCAAAGAAAACCAGTGTTAGCATGGTCCACTAACAAGTTTTGAGAAAATAGGTGGGTAGGCCATCTCCCCTGGCATAGCAACTCAAACAGCAAAAGCACATTAAGACTCCACTACGCAAGTGACTATATTACTCCAGACTACAGATGCTAGTTCACACAGGTGCAATAGATTACTCCTAGAGAAACTTAAGGACCAAATCAAGGCAATTCCCCAACTCAACAAGACCAAGCTAGACACCCTGACAGAAACTACACCAGTGCTTTGGTAGTACACTGGTCATGGAAATATCCTTCATTTCTTTTCCTTTTCATCCTTCACTTACCTTGCTCCCCTAAAATTCAGCCTTTTTTTTTTKATAAGCATGATCACCTAAATACTTGGTTAGCCCATAAAATACTTGGTGCCTGGCCTCCCAGGCAAAATTAGCCACTAAGTTAAATGGTGAATGTAGGCATAGGCTTAAGAGATGGCTAAGTACATCTTAAGTGTAAATAGTACAAGGTTGCTTTGGAGGCTTGGTAATAAGCCAACGATTGTATGAGAGAAATATGAACCTTCAAGGTCCCGTGGGAGTCATTAACACTTTTCAGGTGTGGGAGATGCGTATGGTCAGAAGACCAATTGTGGTTAGCCTGATTCTGGCTAAGCTGTAGAGCAGCGTGACCATCTGTTACTATGATAACATGGTTGTGAGTCTTATGACATTAGGCATCATGGAAGCATCTTACCTTGATGTGTTAAAAAGCATTTCTATCATACAATCCTTTTTTTTTTTT